CAGTTCGAAAATGATTTAAAAATACACTTCTGCACGGCACTGGAAACTGGTCCACTGTAAAACCTGACCTCGCACAATGCGACCGGTATGGCGGCGTGATAAAAACGGACAAAAACTTTCGCAAGGAAAGAAATATGTAAATAGAATTTTATCGCACCTATTTTATATCGGCAAATTCAAATGCTTTTGCCTTTATTAATTATTAATAAAATTAATTTGTGTTTTTAAATAATAAAATCATTTGACATACCCGCCGTTACAACAACAATTGTTCAAAATTTTATCCACCAACGTGTAAACACATTTGGATCCGTCTTACTCAGTTTCTACGAACTAACACAAATGTTGTCTTGCTTCAGCATAACACAAATGCTTCATCATAATACAAATGTTGTCTTGCTTCGCCATAAATTAAAACGATATCCATCAACTCCGAGTTGCTATATACGCAAACCATTTTTGACACTAACTACTAAAAAACTATTGTAAACACCACAGATAACAGGTAAACACTATGGCAACGACGGTTGCAAAATCTGATTTCAGTATTCGGAGTCGCTGAGGCCACGTGGCTCTCCACGCGTATTGTGAATGACGCTCGAGACTACAGTTGTCTAGCTATGAATGTAGTACAACTTCAATTATTTTTTTCTCGGAAACTATAGGATTTTACAAAAAATTTTTTTACGATATTGACTCCATATCTCATGCCGCATCTATTCCCAAATTTTTTTGGATAAGTTGTGAATCACCCTGTATATCAAGATTAGATTGGAAATTAAAACTGATATTTCACGCTATTTTATGCGCTATCAAACAGGTAGATGTTACAACCAACCAGTCGGTAAGAATACCCTTTATATGATTCCCGATAAGATTGCACAGTTTTTGAAACTAGAACATCATTCTGAAAAACATCGTCAACGTTACTGGCTAATACAGAAGTTGATGTACTAGCAATAAACTCCGCTCTCGTGGGCAATAGACAATTTATCGCACTTATTGCGCAATATACTATTACCTCATTATTACATTTTTGTATTTCCTCTTGAATTTAAGGCAAAACTATGTTTAATGAATATTGAACGTAAGTTATACCGTTTCTGTATTATTTGTAATTTTTTTTAAGTACATTTGCAGAATATAAACATATTCGAAACTAAAAATGATAACAAGATGTAGTTTGAACTATTCGTTCAGCAGAATCACCAGACATAGACCGGTTTCGAAGTTATTAAGACGG